GGGCAAGCTATTTATGCTTTCATGTCCGCCGTCTTGCTGGCTTCGCCACGTTTTCCCTGTGGCGAATGTCGTTGCGCGTGCGACACGGTTTGCATGTATTTGGATTTTTGGTTTGGGGGGTACGCTGATGCTGGAGTTGCGATGTGCGTTGCGTTGAGAATTGTATGACGTTTCGATTGATTTGCTTGCTTTTTTGTTTGGACGTCAACTGAGGGAGGGGGATGATGAGAGCTCACGGCCGAAAACTACAAACAAACACATATTCTCGAGTTGGGTACTTACACCAGGCGGACGAGAGGGTATATGTACACAAAGAGTACGGCTGAAAACTCGTGCAAGTTTTGTTACTTGCGTTTTTGACGGAAGCATCTTGCGTGTTTCGACTTCTTACCGTTGGAAACTCAGTTCGTAGTATTCTTTTGGGGCCCGGTCGCGTGCGTGGGGTCTTGTTCTGTCGTGGTACTTTTGGCATTTTTGGTGCTGTTCACCGGGAGATGCGTCTGCACAACCTTAGGTCAACCTACTAGAGGCCGATATTTGTGCTGAACTCCCCGGCAAAACCACGTCCGTCCCGTCTTTGAAACAGCGTGTCGGATCCAACTTCCCTTTTCTCCTTCGATTGAAACACAATTTAGTACATCAACATGGCGCCCTATTCTTCCCAAGCCGCTTACTTGCTTCGCGTTGTCCATAACCTATGCGAATGACCTCTCTCGACTTGGTGGCGCCCAATCCCTTGCTGCACCCCAAACAAGTCGCCATTTTGCCGTACGTATCTGCCAAAAAACGTGTATTCCACTCAAAACCACCATTCGACCGGTTTTTCTTTTGCATGTTGCCCAAAGTGTCGTCAAATCCCAACACTCCTTTTTCCCAACCAATGTGGACTGGACAAAGCATCATCATTTCAAAACACGAGTTCTGGCATGTGTTCCAGAAAAAAGAAATGGTTAGTAGACAGAATGGTCTCAACATTGAAGAACGTGATTTCTTGTATTTGGGGAACCCGCCCGGCCGCCCCCCAAGACTTGGATTCAGGGGACCCGCATGGAAAGTTAGTTCTCTGTAGGAGATCAAGAGAACGGTCGGAAGATAGGAACATCTCCATCAACTTGACAAGTGTTTAGGTGAGTTTGATCGACCAGTAGCCTTCCACAGACAACAACATATTCGCACGATTGAGAGCGAAGTATCTGATTGAGAGCGAGATCGTGCGATACGATGTAGCTTGTCTACTGCTGAGAGGTAGAGCTTGCTGTGCAGCTTGAATTGAAGGGCTTGCCCAAAGCTACAAGCCGATACCCGGGTCATCCTGCGGGTGTCTCGCGTTGTGGAGCTACACCGCGGAGCAGAAGCTACGGGAGGGCCTACCGCGCCAGGCGACGGCGCCCTGAAACAGTTTCGGGCAGGAATAGCCAATCTGGGGAAATCTAGCAACGTGCGTAGCTCTTCGCTGCTGCAGCCGATCGCAGTGACACGCATATGCACGCGAAGCTGCTGAAGAGAGCTTCAATTTGCGCCGCTTTTTGGAAGAGCCCGTCCCCTGCTTCCCGAGAAATGACGGGAGGCGTCTGGACCCGAAGTTCGAATTTTTTTGGTTCTCGCTCTCAATTGGAAACTTCGCTCTCAATCGTGCGAAAACCCTGTTAGACCCTGAAACACAACATCCTGCCCACATCGCCTCATATTGATATCAGATAAATAGCACCCACACAGAAGCGCCCCCCAAACACACATACATACATGGCGCACATACATGCACGAGATTCCATCAGGCCGCAACATTGAATTCAATCCCGATACGACCCCTCTTTGTCGTTCAGATATGTTTCACCTTCGGACGTGTGCCGCGCGTTTCAACTCAAAGATGGTTGGATGCTTTGCTGATGCAATGACCGCTCCGAGATGAGTCCCGAAGCTAGCCTCCGTCAGCCTGCTCTGTGCAAGCCGGTGTTGGAGATCTTTCGTGAGACAGCACGCCGCACAGTTGGTGATTTCGGGGGTGAAAACGTGCACGATGATGTCGGTGAATTCGGGGGTGACATCCTGTTTCGATTTTTGGGTGACATGCATTGCTAACTTTGGGTCATTTGGGTCGTTTGTGCTGATATGATTTCACGTGTCGGTCATTCGCATCTTTTTTTTTACGGGAGAAATGCTCGACATTGAGAGGTTATGGTCCTCGGCCATTCTGGTTCCTGTACACCAGAACCAAACGGTGGATTTGATGACGCAAGTTTGCACATCTGCTGTATACCAACGGGTTCGTCGGTCGAACGCAAGTGTCAAATCTGATTGCCGTGGAGGTGCTTGCGCCTACGCCGACCAATGATCCCTGATTCTCCCGTTCAAAGAAAGATGTGAATTTCCGTCCGTTTTAGCCGACGAGGAATGCCTTACCCAGGGAAGTTCGGTTCTAAGCGGAAGCTCTGCATGCACGATATTTCATTGCAACCCACAGACTTTGTGACTGGCTCGTGGGTGAATGAATGTTCCCCATCGACCTTTCTCCAAGGGTGGTCATTATCCGTACTATATTCCCACGCAGTAGCCACGCTAAAAACTGAACGTTCCTCGGTGATGCTTCCTTAGGCTCTTTCTTGCTTCTTATGTAGATAGATAGAAATGGAAGATGGCCTGTGTTTTTTTTTATGAAGTATTGTATTTCTTTCATTTACGGGGTGCGCAAGAAAAGCTGCAAGGCACGATGGCCAAATGCCTGATTGTTCATGCACGCTTCGAAATCCTATTGAAGCCAATTGAGCTACACCCAACACATTGGTGTATGCTCGATGCTGAAGCAGGAGACATACGTTCGATTCAAGGCTCTACTGGACTTCAGTTCGACATTCTGGTGCGCAAGACCCTCCTGGGCTTCAGTTCGAGATTCTGGTGCTCAAGAAAAGCTACATAGCACGAAGGCGCACTGCCTGGTTGTTCATGCACGCATCTAAATCCTATTGAAGCCAACTGAGCTAAACCCAAACCATGGTTTATTCTCGAGGCTGAAGCAGGAGACATACTACAGCTGTTTTCGTGTTTCGGCATTCCCTAAGTGGAGTGACTGGAGACCCAGAAAACGAGCCATGCCTCCCCCACAAATGGATTGTCGGAACAGAGAAAAGAGACCCATGGAATTGCGCCCACCCCCCCCCTCGCCACGAAGTACTCCTTCGCCGAGACTGGATTGTCGGAACAGAGAAAAGACACCCCCCTCGTCGCGACGAAGTACTCCTTCCCCGAGACTGGATTGTCGGAACAAAGAAAAGAGATCCCCCTCGTCGCGACGAAGTATTCCTTCGCCAAGACTGGATTGTCGGAACAAAGAAAAGAGACCCATGGATTCGACGCAGTACTCCTCCCTGTGATGAGAAGGAGATCATAATCTCCAAACGGAGGGACACAGGTATACCCCTGCTCTATAATCTCTCGGCTCCTTGAAACATCGCCGATGATCCTTGTTTTGGAACGATCCTGTGGAAAAATTTCAGGCCTAGGCAAACACGAAACCTGGAACCCGCACTCACTCCTTTGCTACAGAGTCGACAGGAACCATTTGCCGCATCCACAATTCTGTGCCCCTCGAGTAGAACGCACCTCCGGCACAAGAGTGGTTGTACACTCCTATGATCAATAGCCTTTTGGATACATAATTCTCCAAACATCGAGGAAGCTGTTGATCATAGGAGTGTCCCTCTGCTGTGTGTCGGAGGTACGTTCTACTCAAGGTAGACTTGTGGATCTGGCACATGATTGCCGTCGACTAGTCTACTGGGATCCACCACTTGACTTGACAGTGAATTCCATTAAACTTGCAAAAGCCTACGGCCAAACAAGGTGGTACAACCAGAGGCCGCTCTTCCTCTCCCGTGTACCGGACCACCTGCAGAGGAAAAAAGGACAGATAGGTCACACTTATTGAGCGCAGGAACTACCACAAGAAGGAATGGTGAAATGGCGGGTGGGGACAGGGAGATGAGCGACGACGCAAATACTGACTCACATTCAGCGGCAGACTATTCCCCTGTACACCCAACCGCAGCCTCCTCTTCTTCATCGGGAGCCATCGTTGCACCTGTCATCAGTGCGAGGGTCATGCAAAAGGAAAAATTGCCACCGTATCATCAGACTTTTGAGGCATCGACCAGCGAACAAATCATGGCATCTTGGCCTAACAAAAAAAGTCGTAGCCTAATCTACCAAACAGTTTGTGCATGTCAAATCGGGAGAGCTCATCAAGTCTAGGCTCGATGGGGAGATATCAGTGCTTCAGCGGAATAGTCTTGTAGGCATGTCGCGCCTGCTTGTCCAGGAGACTTGTGTTGTGTCCACGCTTGTTCTTGGGCGTGGCCTGCGCGTAGCAGTACCGCTACTGCTACTGCTTCTCTTTCTTCTTCTCCTTCTTCGGAACCATACCATCTGAAGCGGATGGTGTACCGGATGGCGAAGAAGAAGGCACCGAATGCTCGAGTATTTGCTGCTCTACTCAGGTAAATTGTACTTCATGCTTTGGCTAGAGGTTGAAACAACTTTCGCGTCTCGCTCCTTCGTCCACATTGATCGGCAGTTGGCGTCTGATTATCGTTCGTTGTAATCGACCCTGTTCTACAGGTCTCATGATGCTGACGAGGTGGCAAGGGCGGCTGAGGCGCGCGGACGAAAGGTGTGGGGGAAAGAGGGAACGGAGAGCTGACTAGGAGTGGTGAGTTTGGAAAATAGAGTCGGAGACAATAAAAAAAATCACGTAAAGGTCATGTATTATTAGCAGCTTTTTGCCTGCACTGTCTTCCTATGTGGTACCACAGGTTCGGCAGGAAGCGGGCACGTTCGGCGACAGGAATAATAGTGATAAAGACTCGGGAGGTCGGAAAAAACATCCGGGTTGGAGAGTAGATACCTTACGGCGTTGTATCCACCGTGCGACACGGAGGCGTAATCAAGCGATGTGCTCCTATCCACGTTGTGACTTGAAGGGTCGGCTCCATGGTCAAGAAGTACGCTCACCGCGCCAAGATTACCAGAAGCTGCCGCAAGATGAAGCGGTGCTGCCCCCACGATCGCTGCGTTGTCCACGATAAGATCGGAGACCTCTTGGTTTCCCTGTTCACAACAGCGTTCGATGATACGGTTGGATCTCGATGTAAGGATATGCGAAACTCGCCGCACATTTCTTCATCGCAAGCCTTGTGTAGCTCATTCCCTTCCCTCACGAGGCATGGGTTGCTGGATTGAAACATGACCCGGAGCAGATAAGGCTGCAGTGAGTTTGACCAAGAATGAAAGAATCATTTTCCACAATCCTGTTGATGCCCGCAAACCTGTTGATGCCCGCGATGGATTCTAGGCAGCAGGGCCGCGCCAGCACAGCGGTCGCAAACCAAAGCAGCGATAGTGCCATGGAACAGGAAGAGTAGACGAAAGAGCTCCCGATTTCTCGTCGCTTGGAGTGTATCATGGAGAACTCGCGGTTGGAAAAAAAACTGAAGTATCTTCCTCGTTCATGTCGATTTTCATGTACTGCAGGATGCTTTGAGATGTATCGATCGCGTACGGGAGACCCTTGAAAACCGAGCGTGCGGACCCATCCCTGTTCAGCCTGGCCACCGCGCTTCTACGCTGCTTGAGCTTCACGCTTCCTTTTTAGGAGCCATCGTGCAGATGGCACCAGTGGTAAGTGTCTGCATTGAGCTTGAATCTAGTATGCAAAAGCTTCGGGAAGAGCATCGCGTAGATGATGAACCCCATGAGCGTCTTGTTATCCATGAAGGACTCCACCCACGCGAGCGTCTCTGTATTGCTCAATTGGTGGAAGCTTTTTTCGGTGCTCTTCTTTCGGGACTCGTAGAACACCTCCACGTGCTCAAGGGCCGGCGCGCGGAAGACGTTGTCGATAGTCACCGGGCACCGGAAGCACATCTTGGCGTGCACCTTAGCCTTGGCGAAGTTTTTCTCGTCGAACGTAGGGTTCAACAGCGATGTGATCGCCGGCGACGCCGCCTTCGTCTTCGCGCGCTTGGTGGCGCGTTCACAGGTGGTCATGGCTGGCTGGGTTGCGGATGAGATGTGAGTGGTGTGGCGTGACTTATTGTGAACAAAGATAATCATGAAAAAATGAGCTGGTCATGCATTTATTTTGTGCTTAGTTTAGCAAGTCACGCGGGATCTCCCATCCTCCTGCCTCGACGATGCGTCCGAGGCGTAGACCGGTTTCGGCTACGTGGAGAGACTCGTTGATACTTCGAAGAGAAGATCCCCTGACAGGGATGGAATAAGCTAGTGCATGCGCCTTCCCTAGTTCTTTACGAATGTTTTGCAAAGCTGTAGTGATTGTAGATAAATCTATGCTTGTGCCTCTTTGCAATGAAGTTCGCCTGCCGCCGGTGGTGGTGTCTGTGTACGTACATCATGCGCTGCTCAAGAGACCACATTCCTCACCACACTCATCCGATCACGACCGATGCTCTAGTGTGAGAGTACATGTTCGATTGGTCCACCATTCTGGAGGTCGGGGGCAGCCCAAAGGCCGCCGCATTCAGCTCACACAACAACAGACATGTGCGAAATAAAAAAAAAATATCCGCCTGAACTCTATTTTCAAGAAGGGCGACGGAATGCATCCTTTGAGTATGTAACTTAGGGTGGTTGTAAACCATGACATGGAACTTCACGGATAGTCGATCGGATGCCAGGGAGGCCTGAAGTGCTCCACGGCGCAGCCCACATTCAGCGAACGTCCGCCCTGGGTTCGATGAGACTTGTAGTTTTGTCGGATGCACTAGAGGTGCACTTTTCACTCGACCACAACAGTTCACGTAACATCTTCAGGAGTGACTGGTTTTGATTTGAAACACATTATAGTCTGGTCGTAGAGTGGTATCACCTACGAACAGGAACTGAGACGAGGGACGCCACGCTTTCCTGGACTTCCAGCTAAGCGTCTACTGTAGAAATCATGACCATTCGTCTGCACTCGATCACCGGCCATGTACATCGAAGATGATTGATATCACGCTGAAGTCTAGTCGCCGTCTAATCGCGTTGAACAATGTGATTAGTACAACGTGATTAGTCAAAGCTCAAATTTTGTGTTTTCTTCTTCCCGAGATGAAGAATGTTGGCGGCTGCTCCTATGGGGGCGAGATCCTTGATCTGAGAAATAGACGCACGCTCAAACTTTCACGAAAAGCAAGCAATATGGGTGAGCACATCAGCGGTGGATCCTTACCCTCAACTCTTTGTAACGAACGCTGTACAACAACCTGTGCTCGACAGCAGTGGGAACGATAATAAAAATAAAATCAAAAATAATAGTAATAAACTGGCTTGACCCGATTTCCATGTTTTTCATCTCCGGGGCAGGAAGATTCCCAGAAGTGCGCTCTGTAGGGTTTGTAAGTCCTGTCGGGGTTCGAGGAAGGAAGTGTCACAGAACTTACAGAACTCCCGGTTCCCTTCTCCGAAAGCATCACGGAACTCGACAGAACATAATACAGAAGCTCCGGATTCGAATTCGGAAGCGTCACGGAACTCACAGGCTTGTCGGACACGGGTAGATGCCAAACGAAATTCTCCCTTGGTGTGCTTTTGTCCGCATCCGACAGATCACAGCCTTGCAAGGTTCCTCCTACGCGCAGTTTGCGACAGCTGTGGCTCATCGTAGCGAAAACAGCGTCCGAACCGCTGCTGTTCGTGCGATCTTTCCGGAACACAAAAATGACGGTGCAGAAACACGTGAGCGCGTCGTAAGCCAAGCCCCTACGCTTGTTTTTTGTTTCGACGATTCGTATCCGCAACTCTCGCGAAACATTCATCCTTCCCCCCTCCCTCCTCCATGGTGTTTACCATCGGGGTTGGGTTTTCATCGCCTGGCAACGACGTTGTAAAACAAGACGACCCCCCCGGTGTTTGCCATCGGGGTTGGGTTTTCGTCGCTTGGCAACGACGTTGTAAAACAAGCCGCCCC